TCACTTCAGACATCGTTCAGAGCACAACAAATTATGTACATGATACAAATACCTAGAGTGTATATGGTTCGACTTGAAAAAATGGAAAATTGCATCTATCTCATGAGCAGACTAGGTGATTTTTATACTCGAGTTCTTGCCTTAAAAAAAGTAATTAGTAGGTAGATCAAAAGTTTCTATAGCCATATATAAATATTTACAAGAATGTGACACAATTTGTGTCTAACAAGATAGTACCAGATTAGATTCGACATAAAATATACTTGTTTTAAAGAAAATCGGCAGATTCATAACTGGACATTTTGTTCGAGTATACAGAAAATCATTTGGTACATCAACTTTTTCAATCATTTTTATTTTTCTGGGCATGGAAAATTTTTGTTCTGGACCATTTATTACTTCGAAATTTGTATATATTATACGACATACTATTAGGTATCTTACATCATGGAATAAAACTGAATATGGAAGCAAAATGAAGCAAATAATTGGATTTGAATAATTATTGAAATTCACGATATTTCTGATTGTCATTTTTATCAAAATAAGAAATGCATTTTTCAGAATAACTTACTGCAGATAACAGAGAGTACAACACATAACTGAAGAACCAGATAATCTGAGGATTATCTTTGAATATTCGTATCTTGACTAGATGAAACAAGGACTAGAAGATGGAGGTGACAGACCATATTGACGTTAGAAACTTAGGTTGACAATGTAGTTCGTCATTTTCTTTTGTTCTTGTGTTTCTAGGAACTCTGGGCAATACGCTGTTGCCAGGGCCATAGAATAATTTGGGTTTGAATAAAATCTCGGTCATTAGTAGGAAAACTATGATATTTTTATTGGTACTGAATGTGAATACTGTTGTCATTGGTCATATTGAATCTCATAACAATACAAATCTGGCAGCGTCGAAATATGTGGTCCTACTTTTTTATGCGAAAGCATAATTTTCGAGGTTATCCCGATGATATGAAAACATGTTTGGATTTTTTTCTAAGGCATATCATCGAGCATATTATGATTGCTGGAAGTGTTTCGCCGAAACGGTTTCGAGATTTTTCCGCAAGCAAAACAACACACAACATTTTTTTTTGTATATGTATGGAAAGTTGAAGATTTTTTTGGACTATCCCTAATTTCAGCTGATCTGTTCATAAAATGGGAGGGTTCAAATATACGAATCGATACCGGAAAGAAGTGATCACTACAATTTCTTTGATATACAGGGTAATCCAAAATATACAAAAAAATCGTAAAATTCTGTCATGCATAGTCGAAAGAATAGTAGTAGGTAGTGTGATTTGTACTTCGAATACTCCATATATTGACGTAGAATGATTTTATTTCATTCCTGATACCATTTCTGAACTCACGATTTTTTTTCAATCTTCAGTCAGTCACATACAGGGTATTATTAATCCTTACTCTTGATAAATTCGAGGATAAATTGTCCAAAATTGTCACTGCGTTGAAAAAATTCATTATTAGAAATTCAAAAGTGAAATATGTTTCTAATAATCAGTTTCGCCTCTTTTGTCCTTCCTTAAAATATATTGTAATATAAATAAACTAACAAGGGATTGATTATCTCTTTTTTGGGTCGCCTGTTTTGTGTATCTCATGCATTCAAAGATTATGGATCTCGCATGCAGTTTAAAATACAAAGAGGATGCAGAACTCTGCTGCCATACATCATTATGACAAATGTTCGTGAATCTGTAAAAGTATATACCGAAACCCGAAACCTCTCGGGTATTTACCCATTTGGAACAACAACCGTAAAAACAGGGGCGGACTGGCCCATTTACCAAGAAACAAGCGCCAGCCACGAGAATAATATTTTGATATAGAAACTAATTTTTTTTCTCAATCTGAAACAATCTGTCCTCAGTGAATACACCATGTGATTTCTCATCTATACTCCATACTGATATTATAAAAAAGAAAAGATTTGTTTGTTTGTATTGAATTTATAAAATAAAAAATACAATTATTGTTGGTTCAGCTTCTTTATATTGGAGGGGGCCCATGAAATCCAGAGAATATACAGGGTGTCCGTTTTTCGAGCTTCACCATGGAGATCTTAGTTATTATAAGAGATACGAGGTCGGTTGATTTAGGACAAAGTTGCGCATTTCCATGCTGAACATTTATCTGCAAGAAAATTTGATGTGTCATCTTTAGTTTTCGAATTATTGAAAGAAAACGAAAATTTTTAATTTTCGTTTATATTTTTTCCAGCAGAAACCAAAGAACTTAGACGTTTCTGACTGAGACAGGAATCTGAATCTGTCATTGTATTATCCAATGCTATCTTGATGCCAAAGTTACCTTTGTTTTTTCTTATGAGCGCCATATTGGATTTTTGCGTTTTTGAATAGTCTCTATTTTATCAAATTACAATGATGTATCATACGATTCGATCGAATCTTTCCTGTTAATCGAAATTGGGAGAAACCAATTTTTCGAAGAGTGCTGTGGAAAGAATGCCAACAGTTTTGTTTAACAAGATGAATTTCGATAGTTCATTTTCACACAATCACAAAAACAAGTTGCAAATTCATATTCCTCATGTCAGGAAACCTAGAAATACAAAATTTCATGTTCATGCTGTTGAAACTAACAAAGTTATTGTGAAATTTCGAAATCAAATCTCCCCCTAGAACACCCTGTATCTCCTAAACCAGCAACATTCTCATCATTGGGCTAAACTATCTGTAGTTCAGAAATTTCCTATTCTTAATGACGTGGAGATGCCGAATCCCGATAAGGAATTCAAAAAGACAGTCCATCATTCCCCTATTGTTAATGTAATCGATTGACCCCTTGTATGTTGTGGAAATCCGAGAAATGCATGCAACAATGGCGGCGCTGATTGGATTCGTGTCCACATTAGAATTCCCGATCAGGCAATCCGTATAAATGGAGTATGGCCTGATGAAACGACCTTCCAGTTCCGAATAAAACGGCTAATGAAGATGAAATAAAAACGAGAAAGCCTGAAGAGAAGCGAAAATCGTTGTTGGACATTTTGAATGCACCAATTCCATATACAGGGCAGTGCCAAGGTCTTTTGGGTGCTATACTACCAAGCGGCAACATCTTCAGGGCGGCTATATGAAAATACAACTGCACATCTTTTTTCATCAGTCATTATCTGGATATTTTGATTTTTTTTATGTTCTGGTTCTCACGAAAAGGGATATCCTAAACTGAAATGTATGTTAAGAAGTGAATCATCCCAAGAAAAGCACAATTAGGAAAAAAATACGGCAAAAAGTTCAAACCAGAGAGAAAAATGGCGGACACAGTGTTTTATTTTAAGTTGCAGTATTAGCATCTAGCAACTAGATGCGCTACTGCTCAGTGGAATGTGCTTAGATCAGAGCCTATGACAGACGTGTGTGAAGACTGGCTCATACAGTGTTTGGCAGCCGAATTAAGAGCAAGTGTAACCCTTGTCCACGTCATTTGTGCTCGTGTTTATTGAATTGTGATCATAATATAACACTAACATATACCTATACATCCTGTTTGTTCTATTAAATTTTTCATTTTGTTGAAAAGATATTCTGGAATAATAGTTATTTGTTTCACTAGGCATTAAAAGTACATCTTTTCTGCCTGTTAAGTGTCATTAAAAATCCACAATAATGTCATTTGGAGAAAAACTCTATTATGTCGATCGGAGAATGAGAGTGAGATGAACCGAAAAAAACAAAGGGGTGCAATTTGAAAACCAAAGTAAGGGGTAGATTGTTGATAGAATAGCAATTTGAACTCACCATGTTGGAAAGCTTTTGCTCCATAAATTCCACAATTTTCTGGAATTTTTGAAAGTTTGATAAACCAGATATCTGCTGCTGCTAACCTTAAAGCTCTGGGACACCCGGTATATTCGAATTATGAAAATCAGTTACAATTCAGAAATGAAGCTGCCCACTTCTTAAAATTTATATTTCAAATGCCTATCTAAGAAAGAAAAGATGTTCAAGATCAATAAAAATCTAAAAGATGCCAGATAAAAACCTAGGCATACTATTTCATCCAAAGTAACCAACAAAATATAATGAATAGCCCTGTATACTGTAAAAGTGGCCACTCCGTATATGTACATTTTTCATGCCCACTGAAATCTAACGAGCAGATGATATAACAGTAATTAAACCAGACATTATCTTGAATAAAACAGCTATGATAAATTGTTGTTTCACATTTTGCATTATTTCTAGCAGCTGATTCACGAAAGCTTTATTACGTTTTTTAAACGAGTGGTTTATTAGACTAGAAAAGTTTATGTTTACGTGAAAACTCGCATATTTGCGTTTTTCTTTTTGTATACAAACTGCTGCTAAAATGCAGTTTCATCTCATAAGTACAACGAAGTTCTATGAATAACATGAATACTCAACATTCCTATATACCTACTATGTATACATATTTGCATGGCTGTTACATTCCAGGTTTTGAGATTTATTTATTTTTTTCAATTCATTCAAGTTTTTCAAGTAGGTTGATTCAGCTCAGCCAGACTCACTGTTTAGTTTTCAAACCTGATATTCAAACTGATATTTAAGTAACAGAACGAAAATGAAAATAGAATACTAGTAGAGAGCACGAAGTTCTTAGGCATTCATATTGATGAGAATTGGAAGTGGTCGAGTCATATTGATCAGTTGTGTTCAAAATTGAGTTAAATTACATATGCAATTCGTACCATTCATAAATATATGCATAAGAAGACTATTACATACCTTGCTAATTTTTAATCTGTACCGAAATATGGGATAATTTTTATGGGCACAAATAAGGAAACTGGAAGAGTTTTCATCATTATTTAAAATCCATTTTTTTTTTCAACGTATCAATCGCTCAAAATGTGTTTTGAACAATTGATGGCAAAAATAAGTTGTTTTTTTTGCCTTATTCACAGTTCGAAACGAAGTGCGTTCCTAGGGAGGATAGGGACAGGAGGTAGGTTTTGGAATCTTTTTTGAACTTTTGGAGATTATATGTTGTTGGGAATACTTCCAACGAAAGGATGTGCTGACTGAGCTTGTCTAGTTCGTCTGATTGGTATTGCTAGTGAAGGGATGATAGCAGAGATTTCCGAAGAACATTTCCCGTGGAAGTATCGATAGAAAAGTGAAAGGTCGCCGACCTTTCTACGGTGTTCCAATGATGTCAAAGAGTGAGTGAGTGTGGCGTCACTAAAAGTCGAAAATTTTATGAAAATACGTTGAAAATATATTGTTCTTCGAAATTATATTTTGATTTTATGTGACCCCCAAACATACTGCAAACTGAAATATGATCTGTACGGTGGATTCCTCTTTCAACCAGCTTTTCAATAAGGGGTCGCAAGCCATAGGGTTGCATTTGAAATAAACATGTTGAGTTGACGTGTCTCGCGAATTTTCAGAAAAATAATTCACTTCCCTAGTAGCGAATTCATTCCAGTTAAAGTCTTCACCCTGTATGAGATACATATTATTAAGGCACTAGAAAATACCACACCGATTCATTCATATTTCTCTCCCTTGTATGAATTATCATATTGACAAAACTGAATCCAGTCGCTGATTGACATAATCTCAGAATGTCATAATCAAACTGATAATGGTTATCGGGTGTTACATCAAAATCTTCAGGTAAATCATAGTACAAATGTAAAAATAACGGTGCTACAGCAATATCTATGTCTATTTTCAATCCTCAACCTATATTTGAAGAATTTTTTTTACCAGAGTTCGTTCCGATTCACATCCCTCAAATTATTCAAGAACACCGTTATTATCATAAGCAACCACTATAATTCAATATAAGAAACCCCCACATTCAAATGAAATATATATTATATATATCTTCCTCTTCCGCTAGGTACCACAAAAGCAAAGTTGATATCCAATAATCGTATAAAAAAATCGTTCAGTCTCCACCTACCACTAAAACATAACAAGAACATCAAATATTACATCCAAAATAACACACCATTTCGAACACTCACACTCCCACCGAGTATCACTTTTTATTTTTCATCCGTTCCAAATGCTCTCCCAGGGAATCCTGAACACCCCTCGAACTTATAATCTCCACCAACTTCTTCACATCCTCCTCCCGACGCCTCACCAAATCCCTCACCACCTCCTGCCTCAAGTACCTCTTGCTCAACCCCCTAGCCCTAGCAGATACCTCTCTGAACCCCGCGAGGTACCCCTCGGCCTTACAAACCCCCTCCGATTTACCCCCCACCACTTCGTCCACGAGACCCACCCCTAGCGCCTCTTCACTAGTGAACAACCTCCCCACCAGCAAAGCTTTCTCGGCCTCCCATTGGCCGATGACGCTTTGCATGCAAGCGATGAACATCGGAGACACCGGCACCCCTACTAAGGCTTCGTTCATGCCTATTTTGAAGCTGTTAACCATCACTCGGTACTCGCAGCTGAGCGCCAGTAAGCAGCCTCCGGCTATCGAGTGACCGTTGATAACAGCTGCTGTTGGTGTGGAGCAGTCGTACAGCTGGAACCACACGTCCTGCAGCCTCCGCAAGTAGTTCAGAATCCTGTCGCTGTCGGGATGGTGGAGCTCTTTGAGGTCGAGACCTGCGCTGAACACACCGCTGGACCTGGAGGTTATGATCAGCCCCTTGTACTTGTCAGCTTCGGATTGTTGGACGGCTGCAGCTAGCTGGCTGAGGAAGCCGAAGCTCATGGAGTTGACGGGCGGTTTGGCGAGTTCTAAGGTGGCAATGCCTGTTTGTTCGTTTAGTGTCAGAGACATGTGGGTGTATATTTTGTCGCTCGAATAGCTTCTGACGAGTTTAGTTGTTTTTTCGAAGAGGTTTTTAGTTCGGAAAGCCATCACTACACTAGACACACGCAGAGAACGCAGTATACCTGCACAGGTCGCCAGTTGTACTGATATTTAAAAAAATAAATACCTCTAGACTGCGTTTTGTGTAGTGTCAAGGTTGACCACATTCATTATCTGATGTTGTGTATACATATTGATGGAGACAGGACCGTAACATGAAATTTATAAGTATGAAATGTGAGGTCTGTTCGTTTGTAAAGTTGATTTTGTTTCCATAGTTGTCTCTGTTCATGGCATGATGTAAACAGAGAATCATAGAAAAATCAAGTTTAGCATCAGGTAGAGCAAACACAAACGAACAGACCTGATCTTTTTTTTTATGTTCTGGTTCCCACGAAAAGGGATATCCTGTAATATTCAGAGAACATCGTGAGAACCAAGGAAAATAAGGTAGGAATTGGTGTTCTTCTTGAATTTCTGGCGGTCATATGCCTCGGGGAACACCTCCTTTGGCACTGTGTTCCAGAGCCTCGCTGTACGTTGGATGAACCAGTCTTTGGAAATAGATGTTCTGCAGGTCTCCAAAGTGACCACGAAGGGGTGCGAAGCCTCAACTCGACGGGTTAATCTCGCGGGGACTGCCAAGGGAGGAACCGGGAGGAACAATTGTTGATATTTCAGAAGAGCATCGTCCATGAAAATATCTATAAAATGAAACCAGATCGCCAACTTTTCTACGGTGTTCCAGAGATGTGAGTGAGTTTGTGAGCGAGGCATCACCCATGAGACGAATTGTCCTTTTTTGGACAGAATCCAATAGTTTTCGGTTAGACAATTTGATGAATGCGTAAATCACTTTAAGATTTCCAGAAAATTCTTAAGAATTTTTCGAAAATCTTATAGTTTGTGAAGCTTTTATCATTCACTATGGATTTCCATCAAGTAACCGCCGGGTCAATTAAAAAAATGCATAAATCTCATCTTTGTTGATAGATTTTTCCACACGAAGACTCTCCAACGCAAGATTGAGGAACATTTTCATAAGCGCCATCAAAGATTCGTTCACAATTTTGGTTGTCATGGTTTCAAATGTTAGGTTCCGTTCCTGAGTTAAAAAATATTCATGATACAAGAAGGTTTGAAATCAAACTTAGAAAATACTTGCTCAGGACAATTTGAATGAAAAATATGTGGCATGATTTGATTACTCAGAAATGAAATGTTATAACTTTTATATGAAAAAACAATATTAATTTGTTTTCACTGAGTGGAAATCATTAATAAACCCTTCATTATATTTTTATTGTATTCACGTATCCTACTATAAACAGAAATGTTTCTTGGGGTAATGAGGTAATGAAGAGAATCAATCAATCAATATTGCTTTCGCCACCGAATATCAACTGGAGATTTTCTTGGCTACGTCACTGATGTATGGCAAGATTCATTAGGAAATCTCTTTGATTTCCTTTTTGGTCTCTATGCAAGCACGTTACCATCAATTTACTCATCTTCGCCTAATTTGCCTCTCTCCAGACATCAATTTGCGTCTCTTCTACAACCGACGCTATGATACACTCAGATAAAAAACCATGAATGTATATAATAATGCCACGTGTAGTCATTCTTTGAACTTGATCATGCTGGAAAAGGAAAATAGCTGGGGTCCAGCCAATCCCAGCAACAATAGGCATCAACATTTTGAGCTCATCAAATATCTGGAAAGCTCAGGAATCAAAAGGGATATATATACATATTTTTTCTCACCGCACTTTAGTCACACATAGAGTCAAAGCACTACTCGTCCAAACTTCACTCTATAGCCTGGATGAATATTTTTCAATGGAGTTTTGATTTACTGAATAGGTATTTCTTTTTTAAATTTGAAAGTTAATATATTTTCAACTTGGTATTTGGTAATTTGTTATTTGTCATACTATTGTCGTATTTTGTGTTATTTATTTTCATGTAATTTAACAAGCTTTGTCAACAAGTGTGTTTTTACTTATGACAATAATAGTTATTTATGCAACAAGTGCAATCAAATTGAACATTACTCATTGATGCAATAAAATAAAGATACACTGTCTTTCTGATGACAACAAAGAGTTAAAATATAAAATATAATTCATCGTTTTCAACAGATATGCTTCATCGGGAGCTTCTTGTAGAAATTTGTTGGTATATATCTTCAGCGGTGAATGTTTTTGATTCGTCTCGCTTTATATCCAATAGATTGATTCTTGAGAAATGCGATAAGTTTCAGATACTTATTGATTCCGATATCATCTTCAACATTCAAGCATGTATACGTACCATCGAATATATAGACCAATGAGTTGATGACTTCAAAGTCTTCGATTTTTTACCAAAATAAGCCCGTAAAACGTTTTCTGAATACATATTCACCATCTCGGAGTGGCACCAATTTATGAATGTATCATATTGTAATTCATATTTCTTCCTTGATTTCTCCGGTAAGAGATTCAAAGTCTTTCTATTATATCATCTGGGGGTGTGTTTGATGATTCACTATCACTATTTTCCATCATGAAAGAATTGGGGGTTTTCAAGAATAGATAAGTATAGGTTACAGAGATAAGCGAGCGTTTTTTCAATATTTCCGCTCACGAGCGCAAATGCTGTCAAAGAATGACATTTCTGGGAAAACTTTAACTTTGTGCTGGAATTTGAAAGTGTCAAAGGCTACTTTGTTGAGCGTTCGTAGAAAAAAAATATTTCTCACAGTATGGGCAATACATGGTTTTGAAAGTAAGTAAGCTATGAGAAATGCGTTACTTTTCATAGCAGTAGTAGAAAAAAACATTTATAAAATATTCTCGCAAAATATGAGTGGTGGGTGACACAATATGAAAATCTTAGGTTTTTTGTTGCAGTATTCAGTGAGTTCGTACAAAATCATCCATCAAATTGCACTATTTATTGTGAAAATGAAGAAATATTGAAATATAATAATTGATTGTTATACACTCGGTTATACATATTAATCCCCCTATCTATAGCCTTTAATTGATCTGATGTGGGAAACAATTGTTGTCATGTCAATCAAAACACAAATTAGTTAGTGTAATTCTCAGAGTAACAGAGCGTTATTTTCGATTTAGTGGAATTGCGATGAAAAACTTCCAGCTACAGATGCGATACAGATGAGATATTGCCAACGAAGTCTTAAGAAAGGTATGAGAAGCACTACACGGGATTTATTGAATGGTGCCAAAAGTTGATAAGTGAAAACACCAAATAAAGAAGAAGTATCTTTGGCTCATTTCCGAAAATGTCTGAAACCTAGAGGCCAAACACCATGGGCATGATGCTGGCTTCCGCAATAAGCTTATACCAACATAATGCTTCAATTGTTAGTTGTTCCTATTTGAAGGAATAATTGATTGAACAAATCCATCAATTTCCTACGCTTGTAGAAAAAATATTGTTCCTAATTCATGCGGAAAGTGTATTTCCGCACTTGTTAGGAAAATTACTATATTTCATTGTATCAGCATGCGGGAGTCATGATTGAGCCATTATCAACTTAAAGAAAGTCCGAATAGCAAAGAGGGTCGAGTAACAGCTCATTGGAAAGGAAATTTAATTTTTTATTGAGAGGATAAGATTATATTGAATGCCATAAATATTCGGCATAATTTGTTGGACACTATATCAACTCTGGAAGCGCAAATAGCAATATGGAGATTGAGAAGATTGAGTCACATCTCAATCAAATGGTATTTTGATTTCCTCACCAGTAATAATGCTGATCTCGAATTTCATTTATCTCCGTTTCAGTCACGAGAAATTTCATATACAGTATGGTGCAAATGAATAAAGGAATAAATCCATTTATAGTCAAACTGTCTATATTTTTGAACTTATTTCCTGAAACATGTCGATTTTTATTTTAAATTTTCCACACTTATAAGTGAAAGTTGAAAATACAGGGTGATCCACGTTTGAGTTCTCACGACAGTGACAATTTTATCTAATTGAACAACCTATATATTATTCAATTTTTGGAATCTCTATGAAAAGCTGAATTCAAAAATATATTACACATAGAGTTTGTGTACCGTGCGTCTGTTAAATTGATTGCACTGGTAATAAGTAGTGGATACATTCATTTTTAGTCGAACCATCCATTTTTAAGGAATATCCTAAAACAGGTTGATTTTTTTTTGTCAATTTGCCATATTTATAAGGAAGAATTAAATATACAGGGTCGTCCACGTTTAATTCATGACGTCCGCGACATTTTTTTCAAAGGGAACTCCCTGAATGTTGTTCAAGCTTTTGAATCTCTATGCTGTATTCAAAATTATATCACACATGTGGTTGGTATACAGTGCGTCCATTAAATACTGTGCTCTCGTGAAATTGAGTCGCACTGTATACGAAATCTATGTGGAATTCAGATTTTCATGCAGCTTCCAAAAATTGAATAATATATAGGGTGTTCTGTTTGAAAAAATCATCGCGGACGTCAGAACCCGAACGTGGATCACCCTGTATATTCAATTTCCACTTCTAAAAGTGGAAAAATGAAAATAAAAATCGACCTGTTTCAGCAGAATTCTCAAAAATGGACAGTTTGGCTAGATTAAACATTCATTCAAGTATTTTAGTACTGAAACAAGTTTTGGGAAGAATATGACTAAAACGATTCGAAACTGAAATATAGCTGATGTAGATTAAGATTCATGCAAATTGATAGTCTTATTTATTTCATAATCAACAAAGTCCCAGGTTTGCCATCATATTTAAGTATAAAATTACTCATTCCAATGATATCCATGAAACGATGATACTCTTGCAGAAAAAAAGAAAAATGACATAGATAATTCCTGAAAATTTGAATGTTCATTAGAGCATCATAGGAATTTTCTTTCGTGCGCTCCAAGAGATAAAAAAATCATCATAGAATTCTCAATTATCTCATCATGTTCCTTTTTAGCAATAATAGAAACATTTTGAACTGAAAAAAGTTCAAATTTTCCGACACATAAAACGATCGTTCAACAATAATTTACCTTGGCTCAGAATAATCAATCATGGCCGAAACCAGAAAAACATCAAACCCACATTAAAAAAAAAATTCAAAACTTCGCACTTCCTTCTCGCGTAATCTTTCT